GACAAAGTGAAATTTGGCTGCGAACCCAATATGGTTTCTACAAATTGCGAAAGGCTGCACAAGAATATATACAATATTTTATGCCCGTCTTTAAAAGAATTCGTACAGCTAATCTTGCGATTGAGGCAATCGCTAGAGATCCTGAAATAACGTACGAAAAATTTATTGAGATGATCCAAGATTCATCGTCATTGTCATCATCATCATCATACATTTCTGATTCTATAACTATCCAGTTAACAGAGAAAGACATAATTAATAATCACGAGTATATTGTAGATGAAATTGAGACTTGGATAGACGAACAGGAAGCATTTGGCGTTGTTGGATGTCCTTTAATCGCGCATCTTTCGAAGTTTAAAAGGAAAAAAGGCGATAAAAGCAAAAAAACAAAATTAGCTCATTCAGGAGATACTAGCACTATTAAAACAAAACGCAATATTAATCCAAGTTTGGCCGTGCGGAATCCGACTTGTGTTACACCATTTATTCATGATTTAACTAAAGGTCTCTTCGCTCGTCGACTTGTAACTGTAAAACATACTAATGACGAAGAGACTCAAACCGAGAATTTGCAAAAAGAAAATTCATTAGTTAATGAAATAGTTGTTAAACCTGTTACTCATTATGTTGAATGGCATGGCAAGATGGTTGCGCATGACAATAATATTTCATATTATCGTTCGGCGAGAGTTGATGATGATATTATCAACACTGGTGATGTTGTATATATAAGAAATGACGAATCAGATAAACCTTGGTTTGCTAAAGTTATGTATATGTATGACGACCCTAAAGAAGGCAAGATGTTTCATTCCAGATTTTTCAGCCATGGGAGAGATACCATTCTGGATGAGCTTGCTGGGGAACGTGAACTCTTTCTCTTAGATAATTGCACGGATAACAATCTTGACACCATAATGGGCAAAGTAAATGTCAAAAGGCTCGAACGTGAAGAACGCGAGAACTTCTCCTCTGACGATACCAGCTTCTATTTTTATCGATTTTGGTATGATGAAACTTATGCATCATTTGAGGATGTATATTCACATGAAGACCCTACTAAAGAGTTTCTTTATTGTGCTGATAATGAATTATGCTATTCATGTGAAAATAAATTTGCGGAAAAAGAAAAGGGTCCCAAATGGAACTCACAGGATGAAAATAGACAAGAATCCTTTGAATACAAAGGTGTTGAATATCATCTTAATGATTTTGTCTATATTATCCCGGATAATAAAGACGACCCTTATACTATTGGTCAAATAATTGAGATTTTGATTAAAGGTGAATCAATTTCACTAACATCAGTAGGTGGGAAGATGGCGCTAAAATCAATAGGTGGGACCAAGATTATTGTAGTGTTGCGTTTGTTAGGTCGGTATGATGATCTTACTAAGGAGAAAATAACAACCAATCCATCGGCATCTCATAGAGACGTTATCACTATATCCAAAACTATTAAAGATAGTCGCCGCCTCTTTTTTACAAGAGAGACTATTAAAGAATGCGCAGATCGATTGGAGGGTGTGTGCTGGGTTGACCATAAAAACAATATAAGCGACCTAGATGCATACAAGGACGAAAAAGATACTTATTATGTTGATTTAATCGCTCCGAAACGATCATCAAAGTTGGAAGATATGTGCTTGTTTGATGCGAATGATATTTCAAAGTGTTCAATTTGTGAGGAAAAACGACGAAAACATCAAAGTTTATCGATTGAATTTTATGATTACATAAAGATGAACAATCAAAAACTTCGTGCTATGGATATCTTTTCTGGTTGTGGTGGCATAACCGTGGGCATGGATCAGACCGGTGTAATCGATACAAAATGGGCTATTGAGTTTGATTCTAGTGCAGCAATGACTTTTGAAAAAAATAATCCAAATTCTATAGTATATAATCAATGCGCCAACCTTTTGTTAGAAAGAGCAATTGCAGAACACGGCCGTCAAGAAAACCTTAATGATCTGAAAGACTTTTTAGGTCGTAAGGTTCCAAGCATGCCAGCACCTGGTGATGTAGATTTTATATATTGCGGGCCTCCCTGTCAAGGATTCAGTGGCGTAAATCGTTACCAAAAAGCCGATGACATTAAAAATAGCTTAGTAGCAACATCCTTAAGTTATGTTGACTTTTATAAACCTCAATATTTTCTTTTGGAAAATGTGCGCGGAATGCTCTGTTTCCGACTAGGAGGAGAACAAGATGGAATTAAGATAAAAGGAGGCATAAAGATGGGTGTAATAAAATTTATATTACGTTCATTAACGGCAATGGGGTATCAAACGCGATTTGGTGTTCAGCAAGCAGGTCACCACGGGGTTCCACAAAGTCGTCGACGTCTATTCATATGGGGTGCGAAACAAGGATTATATCTCCCAGATTTTCCACAACCTTCAACTTGTTTTAGTAAACAAGGATCAATAAGTATTTTGTTACCGAACGGAACCTCATTTTCATATAACAAGCGCACAAATGGTCACGCACCATTACCTGCAGTATCTGTGTGTGATGCCATTAATGATTTACCGGAATTCGAATTCGTCAATCCTCATTTAACTTATCCCGCTACTGAAGAAGATAAAAATGAGAAGCGACCTTTCAAACAAATAATAGTCCCAGAAAGAGGCTGGGCAGGAGATATGGTCACTAAATATGAATCGGGACCACTATCAGAATACCAACGTCAATGTCGTAAAGATTCCGAATCTCTACACAACCATGTTACACGTGCTTTCAATCAATTAACTGTCGAACGTATAGTTCGTATACCAATGTTTCCCGGCGCGGATCATAGTAGTGAGTATATATTATTATATTTTTGTTTATAAATAGGTTTTTCACGTTATATTTAAATAAGCTGATATATAAATGTCAAGATTTACCCGAAAAATTAAAGCCATGGTGCTTGAGCGATCCAAATTCAGCAGCAAGTCGTCACAATGGATGGAAGGGCTTGTTTGGCCGTTTAGATTTTAATGGCCATTTTCTTACTGCTCTGACTGATATCAACCCTATGGGCAAAACTGGTGTATGTATTATTTATACTTCATGAACATTTCATTAAATGAAAAACTTATGATGTAATTTGAAAATTAAGACGGTAATCCACCCAAATCAACGACGAATCGTAACCGTCCGTGAATGCGCTCGTGCCCAGGGTTTCCCTGACAAGTTTGTCTTCTTAAGTGATAAGAATGATGTCAAGGATATGCATAGACAAATAGGAAATGCTGTACCACCACCCTTAGCATTCTCACTCGGGCAAGAATTAGTGAAATCTTTATTAAAAAAGTTTGAAGATGATAAGGGAAAAAAGGGGAAAGAAAAACCCGATAGAGTTATGTATGAAGTTTGGGTAGATTTATCGTCTTTCCAAAATCTCTGATAAATAAATTTTGTGAATTCATCTTTCAATTGACACTTTGAATAAACGATAAAATTCTGTTAATGAGTATATCATGTGATTGTTATAATTCCGGCCAACATAACATAAGGTTTGGTAACATACGTTTCATTTTTTTGCGATGTGCTGGTAATCTGAACTTATAGCTTATTTCGGATTCTATCCAAAGAAATTTCTCAACCATGCTCGTGTAATAGTGTAATAGTATACTATAAAAAATTTCTCCGATAATAACTTAATCATTATCGTTATACTGTATACATCTTCGAGAGGTTAAGATACGAAGCTCGAATAGCTTTTTACTAATGTTTACATTTTACGTTTATATAAACAATCTATTTTATGGAATAAAAAGTTGTTTTATTTGAACCAAACTTTCAAAAATAATTTGATCTTTTAATAATATGTCAACATTATTCACTTAGTATAATTTCATATGTAGTGCGAATCTTTTGCAATGCTGGTCAGCTTTTTATAATTCAGGCCAACTTTAGCACTATATATTTGTTAAGCCAGGAAAAGGTGTGAATAATATCGGGAAATTTCGGAAATTAACGAGTATAAAAAACGAGCATGGGTGACCATGACTTTCGGAAATATGGGTAATAACCGTTTGTTCCACTTTCCTATAAAACTATAAAACGACGATTGAACAATGCAACAACCACCACAACAAGAGCGTTCGCCGACAGAATTTCTGAGTAATGTTATCGGTAGACCTGTTGTTGTAAAGTTAAATTCTGGAGTGGACTATCGAGGTATTTTCTTTTGCGTTTATTACAACTTGTATTCAACCTGTTTAAATCTAATGTCGCGTATCAATTTTTTACTCGAAAGGAATTCTCTCGTGCCTTGATGGTTATATGAATATTGCCCTTGAACAAACAGAAGAATGGGTTAACGGCCAGCTGAAAAATAAATATGGAGATGCGTTTATCCGTGGAAACAATGGTATGACCTAGTAATTTTATGTATACATTTATGACTTGTTTTTTTGATAGGCTTTTTTTTCTGTAGTATTATACATTAGTGCTGATAAAACCAGGAAACGAGAACCGTTAAATATTCAGTAAATAGAGACACGGAGTTTTTTTCTTTTAGCAATTGGTTTATTAAATCTTTAGAATTGACAACCTAATCCTAACCAATAAAAATTTTTGGTTGCTAAATTTGAATCTTAATTAGTTTGCCCCTCTATTGTAACCTTGTAAAACTTGCTTTTAGGGAATTCTAAATTATTAGTACTGTATACAGTATGTAGTGTAGTTAAATTGCTTATTTAATTGTCCGAAGCGAAGCGAAATTTCTCTGATCTGTGATGCTTAATTTACTTTTTTGATGCTTCTGTTACGTATTTATCAAAAACGTACTTTTGCATTTTCCGTCTGTCCACTCACTTGGTTATGCTACATAGATGCATACGTTATGTTTTTGATACTTCTATCATGTAATTATCAAAAAAGTACTTTTGCACTTTTCTTTTGTCCTTTCATTTGGTTATGCTTTACAAATAAAAAACAAACTTTTCAAAAAAACATTTTATTTTTTTCATAAACCCAACCCTTTTTCAATTATTATGACTATACTTTACAACTACCAAGAGATTCTTAGAATTGCCTACTTCTAAAATAATATTAAAAGATCTCTTACTTCTCTTTGGACTAGGTTTATTATATTTGTTATAAAAAAACCACCTTTATAAACTATTGTTATAAAATGGATTTGATATCTCCACGAGACTCAGAAGATTTCCATGATCATAATAAGCTTTAATATATATATATTTTTTTTTTTCTTTGATAACCACGTACTAAAATTTTATTAAATATTTACTACTTAAAACACATTA